AAGTGCTCAGAAAATAGAGTCTAATGATCATGGCGCATACAAAAAGTACAAAAAATGAAACAAAAGTAGAGAACATATATCACAGAGCCACAGAAAAGCAAAGCCCCAGCAAGAAAGGTACACCACAGGAAGAAACAAGCTTAATATTTACTTCAACCGAATATATCACTCCCATCTTCAGGAACCAAGAAACACCTTGAGTGACTGACTCTAAGTAAGAATGGAAAGGACTGTTTCATACTTGCAGTTAAGATGGCAACACTTATTGGCTAGATTTGCACAAAAAAAAACTGGAGAAAACAGTAATCTTTAACACTAAAACAAAATAAACCACCTCCCTCCTCCTCTTACCATAAGCATATTATATGGATCAATTCCGAAAGTGTCTTCAAATCTCCAATGCCAAGCTTTATAATCATGGTGCTTAAAATTAATCAGAATGTCACTAAGAGCATCATCCACAGCGCCTGACTGCCACGTATCCTCATGGAGGAACCTGAGGATCTCCACGTATGTTTGCTTGGTAAGGATGATCTCAGCATCGTAATGCACACGATCCATGTTCTCCTCAGGCTGGATAAAAGCCAAACAAAACAATGGTTAGGCTGCCTATTTAGAAATATATGCAGGTAAAGATTTTTGTATCTTTAGCCAAAATCCCAATTCTATATCCTCATTGTGTACCAGCATCTTTTTGTGACAAACTGCAGGATGAGGGCCATTATAAGGGAATGCACTACAGCTGTAGCAGTATCCGTGACATTAGAATGAATTAATTAGGTGATTCTCTTACACAAACTGCAGAAAGCTACTACCCCTGGACAAGGGAAAAGTCTAAAACAAAAGATCTAGCTCTTTCTTATAAATTTAACACTCATTAATATGAGCAGAACAGAGGGTTACTATAGCTGCATCCCATCAGCAGATACTTAACCGCATATCCCGAACTCGAGCAGCCGTCCTTTGCGTGCGTTGCAGAGCTGGAGGCAGCCTGCCTCAGGACATACTCTAGCAAGTCTCTAACACTAAAGCTGGATGCACATGCTTCTATCTTTTTTTTCTTTACAATTCAGTTCTCTTCCTTTTAATTTAAAGTAAGCCAAAATAATTAATCAACACTTGATAACAGTGAGAAATACATAAATAGTAATTTGAATTCTAATTCAATGTTATGTAACATTAAATCAGTCTTCAAATACTTACAAGACCAAGTTTTCCAGCCTCATTTAAAATCTTATTCAAGTATCGCTTAAAAATATAGAAGCTACGGCTTTCATGTGACACAGTGCTCCTCTTCTCACATTCTTCAACCTGCAAGGTAAAGACATTGTCGTTTAATCACTTGTTGCTCAAATCAGCCTTTTTGGAAGAGAAAAAAAAATCCCAACACATTTAACTAATGATTACCAGAAGAACATATTTGTAGCTCAATAATTATCCTGAGATTAGCATAACAGAAAAAAAATCATACATAGCTGCTAAAGACTAAGTTTTTATATATTCATATTACTTTCCACGGGTCTGGCCACTGAGGAAGATTTCAGGTCTGTAAATGAAACTGTCCAAGTACTAACCTCAGCAGCAGTAAAAGAATTGAAGATCTGATCGCCTTAAATTTGAAGTTTACATCAATCAAACAAACAAAAAAAAACTACAACCACACACTTAACTAAATGACATGAAAATCAGATCCCACACCACGTGTCCAAAAGGCTGAAGGCAGTGGGGACCGTGACAGTGATGCCAGCACCACCGCATCCTCCCGGCCTCAGGTGAAGCAGCAGTGCGGGCTCTTATAGCTGCTTCAGATGCTGCCCTGGGGCTTTCACTGCCTTACAGTCCTGCCACAAACACTTGCTTTATCCTCCCCACCCACTCCTTCCCAATCTAACAGATTTTAACAGTTTAAATAGGAGATTCCTTTTCTTAACTTTGCACATTGCAGAAACATAACATGTTTAAACTGCCCACAAACTCTGCTTTACTGCTTCAGGCAAGAGAACTTGCCAGAGCTAAAAGGAAGATGGAATTGAGTTAAACCCCTTGCAGTCTCCCCTTCTGTGAAAAGAATCCCTACATAGCGCATGGTCTCTCACAAGCTATCCTAGCAATCCATCTCCTCTGCTATCCACTGCATCACCAAGTAGCACCAACCACAAAAAAAAAGGCAGGAAAACCTTCTCAAGTTCCACCACAGACCTTTTGTCGTAAGGCAGCCACCTCCCTGGAGCAACTTGCTAAGTTCTCCACGCTAACTGCATCCAAAGTCTTATCCTCAGAGTCACGATAGTTGACCTACAATTGTGTAAGAGAAACATGTTTTTATAATCAAATTGCACATAAGAATATGATCAATACAATATATCCAGTTATATATTTACAGTCTGGGCACTTTAAAAGGAGCTAAAAACTGAGTGCTGGTCTTTTTGCTAACATCTACCGTAAGTTTGGCGCTCTCTTGTTATTTTAAGCTCCAGAGTGATAAGTGCTTTAAGCTCATCTAAACCCCTGCTTCCACCAAACAGTGAGGGTTCTCCTTTCCTTCCCAGGCTGCTCTCGCCCCTCCGTGAGCGCAGCAAACACATGAGATACCCGCACGGGCTGACAACGGTCTCAGCAAGTAAACAGATGGTTTTCACCAGAGGAGATTCCCCAGTGAGCAGCTGACCACAGAGCCACCCAGACTGAAAGCAAATACTGAAGCATGTTCTTGGCTGCCTGCCTTTATTTTCATATTGCCTCCTCACACATGGCCTCCTGTTCTCTCCTCTGCAAGGAGCTCTGCTGCAGTTTCAGGCTACCCCATGGGTTCGGGGTTCCTCCCCAGGAAAATGCAGCTTCCCAGGAACCAGCAAACCCATGCTAAAAGTTTTAATAAAAGCAGATCTGACAAAGATGTCAGTTGTCCCCCAAAAAATTCCTCAAGGTATGTATGCAGGGCTGAAAGCCCTCCTTCAGTAAGTATGGCTATTGGCTGCCTGATTACAGTTCTGATCATGCTACTCATTACTTATAGGTGAAACACAGAGGCATCCACAGTGTACTGTCACCTCGTTACCACAAGCTCCCAAGCTTGACAGCAACTTTAAACCTTTTCTTTAAGCTCCAGAAAATTAGGTTCTAAAATGCATTAGTTAAATTTTATTTATCAAGGCTACGAAAACAAATTGGAGAGGAGAAAACATACCAATACAGCAGCAGTTCACAGTGCCATATACTGGCATATACTTTAGTGTAAACAATACATATCTCATATACACATATACATAGATACACATATACATCAGGCAATCCACTCCCTCATATAAAGTAGTTGATTCACTTTGTTAAAACTACCGTTTTTTTTTTTTTTTCCTTTCTCTCCAAGCTCTTCTCAATGTCTGCAAGTTCTGGACCACGGAGTCTAAACCCTCTCCTGTGCCTCCTTGATAAACACCGATGCCCAGTGCCTCCTTATCAGCACTCGCACACGCCACGTACTTCCATAACACTCCTTCAACCACCCATCAGGCTCAGTCCATATTGCTGGGGAAATGGGCAGTGCAAGCCAAAAATAGCCACTACTTTGAATATCCCAGCTTTTATCAGTTGGAAATTTAACATTCAAAGCAATTAGTGCTATGTTTGTGGAATCGGCAAGAGCTGTTTAACATTGTACTGCTGCTCAGGGAGACAAGGTGGAGCCACAACTAGTCAGCAAGCACTTGTACAAAGCAAAAAGCAGGTTCCTCTGATTTATGAGTGTGCAACACAAATCTAACAGTAAAAAAGCACTAAACTAGTCACCTGAAACAACACAGCTCACCATTAAGGGAGGTGAATTCTTCCTCCTGCAGTTTCCCGCTTCATTTAGCCCACATTCATCTACATTACACTTACATTAAGCAGAGCTGGCCTAACAAATAACCCCTTGCTACCAAGTCAGCGGTTTGTAAGACCCAGGGCAAGAAAAGCAGTTTTTGTTGTTGTTGTTGTTTGTTTGTTTGCCGTGCAGTTTCTAACCAAAGCTATACTCTTATGAAATTGCATCATAATCAATAAACACAGAGAAATTGTAAGATCAAAAGTGTATAATGCCGCCATTTTCTGACTGCACACTTTTAAGAGCTGTCCTTCAGCGGGGTTTGGCGGGGGGAGGAAAGCTGCCCACCTTGTAAGGCCTCCTCATGGTTCCCGAGGCCGCATCGTAGTTGAGCATATCCGTGGGGTCGATCCACTCGTCGTCGTGCCCGGCGCCGCCGCCGAGCAGCAGGGCCGCGCACAGCCCGGCGCCCAGCAGCATCCTCGGCCCCCCGCCGCGGCGACCC